GGTGAGGGTGAGGGTGAGGGTGAGGGTGAGGGTGAGGGTGAGGGTGAGGGTGAGGGTGAGGGTGAGGGTGAGGGTGAGGGTGAGGGTGAGGGTGAGGGTGAGGGTGAGGGTGAGGGTGAGGGTGAGGGTGAGGGTGAGGGTGAGGGTGAGGGTGAGGGTGAGGGTGAGGGTGAGGGTGAGGGTGAGGGTGAGGGTGAGGGTGAGGGTGAGGGGGTGGGTGAGAGAGTGGGTGAGGGTGGGGGTGAGGGTGAGTGTGAGGGTGAGGGGGGAGGGGTGAGGGGTGAGGGGTGAGGGGTGAGGGGTGAGGGGTGAGGGGTGAGGGTGAGGGGTGAGGGGTGAGGGGTGAGGGGTGAGGGGTGGTGAGGGTGAGGGTGAGTCTAGCAGCGATGCAATCACCGTCTCGGGGTCCTCGCTCACCTTCTCGGTGTCCTGAGGGCGAGAGGAGGCGGCGAGAGGAAGCGGTGAGAGGAGGCGGCGAGAGGAGGCGGTGAGAGGAGGCGGTGAGAGGAGGCGCTGAGAGGAGGCGGGGAGAGGAGGCGGCGGGGAGAGGAGGCGGCGAGAGGAGGCGATGAGAGGAGGCGGGGAGAGGAGGCGGTGAGAGGAGGCGGCGAGAGGAGGCGGTAAGAGGAGGCGGTGAGAGGAGGCGGTGAGTGGAGGCGGCGAGAGGAGGCGGCGAGAGGAGGCGGTGAGTGGAGGCGGCGAGAGGAGGCGGCGAGAGGAGGCGGTGAGTGGAGGCGGCGAGAGGAGGCGGCGAGAGGAGGCGGTGAGTGGAGGCGGCGAGAGGAGGCGGCGAGAGGAGGCGGTGAGAGGAGGCGGCGAGAGGAGGCGGGGAGTGCTCGCCATGCTGAACCGGGCGGCGGCCCGCCGCCGCTGTTGGTCGGCCGTGCGCTTCGCCTTGCGCTCCGTCGGCGTCATCTTGTTGGCCTTGCGCTTCTCTGCAGCAGCGTGCGAGGCGGCGAGCTGATGCCCAGGCGCCTCCGGCTGCGCCTGCCGGATGACGCCGGCGCGCCTACGCGAGTGCTGCGCCGGCGCCGCATCCTCGGCGGCGGACGACGTCGTGGACGGCGCCGGAGCGCGCTCCTTGCCGAGGGGCACCATGTCCATGTCCATGTCCATGTCCATGTCCATGTCCATGTCCATGTCCATGTACATGTGTGCTGGGTGGCGGCTTCACTCTGCTGAAACGGAAAACCGGCCGCGGGGAAATATAAGGTAAGATTTGGAATACGTGGAAAACGTATTCAGACAGTAGGCCTGCGACCCTGGCGGAGAAGTTGCTGCAGAACAAATGCCATACGATCGCAAGGGGCGCCGCTGGTTCGCGAACGAGAGTGGTCTCGCGTCGCAGCGGCCCAAGCGAGCGCGTGCGCCCACCGTTGTCGACGCTGATCAACGGCGAGGTCCGAGGTCCATTGCGGTCATCATCGCTTGGCGTCACCGACCGCTTTTTGCTCGAGTCCAAGATCTCGCGGGTACTTGAGCCGGCGCGCGACATAGAG